CTCATAATAGATGAGTTATTACAATAGCCGGCTGGTGGGTAAGACTTATGTGAGTCCTTACTTGGCCTCTTAGTGCGGCTACATTAGCTGTAGTATAGTATCTTAATGTAAACTGGATACAGCATGAATGGATGGATTTGTATAATGGAATTTGAGGGTCTGACTGTTTATAATTACTTTATTGATAATGAGATCCTTGTTGTGTTATATTATTTATATGTACTTGAAAACATACAGTGGTTACTATTCTCATCAAGGTCTTCCTTTATAATAACTTTTCCTATAGCTTCCCTCACAGCTATATACATATATAACTGAACCAACCTTCGTAGGTCATCCTTTAAGTAGCTGCCATTTATGAATAAGTGTTAAGTATTTTTTACCACTAAGAATGTATTTACCGTATTTGCCTGATTAAAAGCCCTGGCATTTATTCATTAACAGGGAGGAAATGGCATAAAATTTTTAAAAAATCTGCCAAAGGGTGGGATTGAACCTGTGTCCCATAGGTCACCAAACTGTGCCTCAAGAGTTAAGCTATTTAGAGCAATTTTAAGTTTAAGCTACTTGGGTAAAATATGGATATCTATAATGAGAATATTTTAAAAGATGGGCATTTATTTAAGCTGGGCTTCTAGTCAGGCAAATAAGGTAAAAGTACAATACATTATACCGTAAGTGTAGAAAATTTTGAGGTGTATTAATTTTTGCTGTTTTCGCGGGTACTAGCTAACCGCGAAAATTAATATTTTAACCATTTATGAACAGAACACCCACGCGTCCAATTATAGTTATTAATAACAATGGCACTGTACAAGTTCTTCAGGCGTGTGGAGAAAAATAAGGACAAGATAGTAAAGAAGACAAACCTGAGGAGAAGTCACAAGCAACTGGTGTTGTTAAAGATGCAGAGAAGTAAAGTAGAAAATGAGGAGAGTCCACGTGCAATAATTATTACATCACATGACCTCACTGACCACCCCTTCTATGACTATCTGCGAAATTTCATCCACGCGAAATTTATAAAATAAAGCAACTAGCGCAAAACCGCAAAAATTTATTACCTCGAAAATTTCTAAACTTACGGTATTAAGCATGTTCAAATTGTTACTTAGTACACACAACACAAGTAATAGCTCTATTGTTAACATAAGGTGGACAAGGTAGACCATTACAGGTTGATATTGTGAAGTAGAACAGAGCATCATCATCATTACCCTCACTGTCATCAATAGATTCAGGATTTTCATCAACACACTCATAGACTTTATTGCTTGAATGCTTATGCCATTCAGTCTTCAGGTATCCTTTATATTCCATAGTCCATGATGAAGGACAGCTGGTTCTAGCAGGAATCATCAGTTTAACACTCTTAGTAGATGTATAACATACTGCACAAGGAGCATTGTGATCATGCTTTCCTGAAAATATATTAACTTTTTCACATTCAGCACCATGTATGGCATTAGACATAGGTAACGAAAGTTTATTTGTACTCATATATTGAGGAACCTTTGGTAAACAGACATAGTTAGCTCCTCCTCCTGTAGGAGTATGATGACTACCTCCAGTTATTCCCTCATACAGTAGTTCAGCTCCAGTAGGACAGGGCTTTCTTCCCTAATGAGTGTACACTACTTTTCCACTTTTCATTTCACCTTTTTAAATACAAACTATCATTAAAGGTTCATTTACTTTTATCTGTACTTTTAGTAGAGAGTACAAATACAAAAATAGACAGTGTAGTCAGTATAAGAACAGACTCCTGTAGGTTCATTGTTCCAATCATCTTGTCATCTCTAAAACTCAGTCATTATACGCATGCTCAATAGCACTTGGCCACAAATTTGCCAAATTTTAGTCCCTCCAAAATTTTCCACTATACAGTACTATTCATGTGACATTATGCTAGCTTTTATTGTCATTTAGCATCTTTTCATTCTTTTGGCTACAATTATTCAAGCATCTTATGCTTTCTTTATACTTATAGCTACTATATACAGCGACATTATTAAAGAATTTGTAAAATCTGTTTTATTAGAGATTCAGCAAAAACCACAACCTAATAAAGTTTACTATTGTTTCTTGGTACACACAACACAAGTAATAGCTCTATTGTTAACATAAGGTGGACAAGGTAGACCATTACAGGTGGACCTTGTGAAGTAGAACAGAGCACCATCAGTAT